CCTTTCATCATTTCAAGTAAAGGCACCTTTGTACCATCAAATCTTTGAGCTACATCAATCACTTCTCGTGTCTTGTATCTTCCTTTATCAGACGAACTAGTTGTGATGTGCTTATGATAAATTTAAATCCCTGCCTGTTTTTCTCTCTACTTGTGTTTGTTTCCTTTTTAAATATTTCTTGCACCTATTTCTATTTCACTAGTTGCTTAGTTCCTTGAAACTTACCAGAATTTTTAATAGTCCAGTATTTCCTGTTAAGTGCAGCTTTCCCACACACATTCTTTAGGGTGAATTCAGGAACTGATAGTGTTTGAAGCTTGGACACAGCAGCTTTTCCTCTGGTCAGACTCTACAAGGCTCAGACACTGCATATCTAACAAGGAAGTTCTCCCCCTTTTCACTCCCCTCGCACAAATATCACAACAAAGATCAGTGCTAAGTTCTACTTCCATTATATTAGGCTGAGCAATTGCTCAATACATCCTACTGGTACAGATTTGGAAAAGCAAGAAAACCAAGAAACTCACTTTCATTACCAAGGACAAAATTCATACGAACACAAAATGCAGATGTTTCATGTTGTACCTCAAATTCCTCATCAGGCATTTAAGTTTACACTAAATTCTAAGGAAATCAGGCTGAGAAGGGTCTGCCCTGCTTAAGATCATCTTAAACATGGTTTGCTGGTTTTGTGCAATGCAATGTGTGCAGTGTGCTTTCAGGGATTCTTCCAGAAGGAGCTATCATGTTTTATCAACACAGAGTATTTACTGAGTGTTGATGCAGAAAGCCCAAAGGAACATATGTAAATTGACTTCTTCAGAAGAAATCAAAAGGAAGAACTGAGGGAGTTTAATATAGACACCAGGAGTAAAATCTAGTTATTAGAAACACTCCTCCAGTACTGATCATACACAACTGATTAACAAAACCCCACATGCACCTGGAAAGGTACAAAAGAACATAGAAGAAACACAATGCGGACTACGAAGACGACTCTATCAGAAGATTCAGCAAGTCAGAAACGAAGTGTTAGACAAACTTGGTATCTTCATTTCGGTTTCATTGGAAATCCTGGTACCTCAGGGTGGGAAGAGAAGGTGAGAGAAAGAAATTTTTTACATAAATGTATCTGACCAAGTACCACAACCCTTCGTAGTCATGAGCATGGGGTGACATTTTTGTTAATGGAAGGTTTGGATATTTTCAGTCACAGACAGTTACTGAAGTAATAGTGTTTATTAACTGATTAAAAATTTCTGCAAATTTAAATAAACTACAAAGCCTACAAAAAAAAAAAAAAGGTGATGTAATTCAAGATGCAAAGTACCCAGGGACCATTCTACTTGCCGCAAGTACTGCTCACTGGTGGTTTGTGGGCTTTGACAGGCTTCAAACTGGTAATGCTGGAGTACATGAAGACACAAAAAGCTCCTTAAGGGTTCCTGAGGAACACATCTTGACTAAGATTTTTTTTTATTTTTCTAAGATTATTAAAAAAGAGGGGAAAAAACCCCAAACCAATACTGGCTGAAGCACAGAGGATGGTGTATGTAAAGAAAAAGAGTTGGATCCTCCGAGAGGTTGGGTGTATGATTTCCCACAGTAAAATCTGTGCACTGAAAGCAGTGCAATAAATGAAAAAGCATAAAAGTTGCAGTTTATTATGCGTCAATGGTCTCCAGAGTAAATCTGCTTAGCCTGCAAATCAAAGGAGGATTTTCCCACCTTCTAGCTATGAAAATCTGAAACTAATTCTGTGTTCTCTGGACACTCATAATACAGGCTCTACAATCAAAACATAATTAACAACATTGCTGCTGCTGCTAATGAATAAGCTAGAAAAGAATCTACCTCACTCTTATCTAACATCAGTTTTACAGGGGAAAGGGAAACAGAAAGGCAAGAATGACAACGTAGTATTTTGAGGTCAAAGCTAGGAACTGCAATAACTCAAGAAGGTAGCCACTTTCTAAGTGTAATTAGCAATGACTAGAAAAAGAACCTCACCAAGAAAAAAATAAAGGTGCATCTACCCTTCAGACTTCCCTGGGTTTAAACTTGACAAATAGGTACCCATTCTTGCTTATTATTATCTCACTCTTGTTCCTTAAGCCAAACGTTGTGCTTCTGGCAGTGAGTTTAGCTTCCACAGCAGTGGGGTAGAGATATATTTCAAAACCAGGATCAAGGCAGAATGAATTGATGATGCTGTTACCAACATCTGCAAGCTGACTACAGCCCTTTCACAGCTGGATCTAGGAATAAATTGGCACAGGCAGACCAACAGGTAGAAATAGCTTAGAAAATGTTTCCTATTCATGATCAGATTTTATTGTTTTAAATTAATAGTGGTTACAGGAAATTATAGACAAAACCTCTCCTAATTTTTTCCATTATTTCTTTCCTCAGTTTTGTCTATGAATTCAACCTCTTCTGTCCCCCCAGAATCCAAAAAACAAAGCAAAAAAAAAAAAAAAAACGAAATTAAAAATGTACTCCCCTCCTCCTCTCCTCCAGAACAGCACAAGCCATTCTCCAGATCAGGTCAATAACAACAAAACTAGGAGAAAGCTTTTCAATATTAATTTTTTAAGTTAGTCCAATTAAAGGTAACACCTTCAATCTCCCTTATGCTGCATTTTCCAAACATTTTAAAACACTGGATACAAAATGCTGATCATGAAAGAAGCTGAAAGCTAAATGCTAAGCTCTGCCAGGAGTAAAAACTTTGTCTCCAGGGAGCTGGCTATCAGTCAGCCACGTGATCCAGTAAGTTATACCAACCTTTGTCCTATTCCAAGGGCTTCCCTTAATCCAATTGTTTTGATACATCTTGACGTTATTATCCCAGATCTCATTACCACATTTCAGAAGAAGAGACTGTAAGTCCTGAATCAAGAATAAAGATCAGACTGCAAAACACGGTTCTAATATTGGCTAAACTGAAAATCTCTACTAACAAAAATGCATCTTTACTTGGAGCAAAGGGTAAGCAAGAGAGTGATGGTAAAAATAATGCCGATATATTATCAAGAAGCTACCAAGGAAAGAAAGCTGAAAGCTCCTCTTCTCCTCCGAAGTTTTTAGGTGTAATTTGCACTTGCATGTCAAAGATAGGTCTGGCATCAAACACCTCTCAGAGATCTACCTACTTCTGCTGCAGCTACAGACAATAACATGTCATGAAATCTCACTTGGAGTATGGTGTGCAGTTCTGGTGTCCTCACCATAAAAAGGACATGGAACTGTTGGAACAAGTCCAGAGGAGGCCACAAGGATGATCAGGGGCTGGAGCACCTCCTGTATGAAGGTAGGCTGAGAAAGTTGGAGCTGTTCAGCCTGGAGAAGGCTGCGTGGAGACCTCATAGCAGCCTTCCAGTATCTGAAGGGGGCCTATAGGGATGCTGGGGAGGGGACTCTTTTATCAGGGACCGTAGTGACAGGACAAGGGGTAATGGGTTAAAACTTAAACAGGGGAAGTTTAGATTGGATGTAAGGAAGAAGTTCTTTACTGTTATTGTGGTGAGGCACTGGAATGGGTTTCCCAGGGAAGCTGTAAATGCTCCATCCCTGGCAGTATTTAAGGCCAGGCTGGACAGAGCCTTGTGTGACATGGTTTAGTGGGAGGTGTCCCTGCCCATGGCAGGGGAGTTGGAACTGGATGATCTTAAGGTCCTTTCCAACCGTAACTATTCTATGATTCTATAAACCAAATTGCTAATAGGTCCTCCACTTTCAGTGGTCTCTTTTATGGAATTATTTGTCATCCCCAGGGTATTATATTTAGATTTCTATCTGTTAAGCCATTGTCCAGAACCATCTTCAATCTCCGCAATTTGAGAGGCAAGCTCAGTATTTTCTTTTCCTGAGGAATTTGAATAGTAATAATGGTTTAGCAGGACAGCAGATGATGGCAAAATGTCAGTGCAGCAAGCAGTCCCCCCAGCATGACAGAGCGGGAAAGCAGAGAGAATCCAACAATGAAATTCGTAAGATTGAAGATAAACAAACACAGTGAATCACAAAATAGTTGAGGCTGGAAAGGATGTCACGAGACTGACTTGCCCAGCACCCTTCCTCAAGCAGGGCCAGTTAGGGCAGGCTGTACAGAACCATGCCTGGTTGGGTTTATGACTGTCTTCATGGATGGAGACTTCACACCTCTTTTGGCCTTCCAGTGTTTGACCACCCTGTCAGTAAAAAAAGGGGGTTATTATGCTTAGGTGGAGTTTCCTGTGCTTCAGTTTGTGCCCACTGCCTCTGGTTCTGTCACTGGACATAGCTGAGAAAAGCCTGGCTCCATCTTCTTTGTATCCACCTATCAGATATTTACATGAAATCATTTACACTGGAAAAGAACCTTGAGTCCAACTCTTAACCCAGCACTGCCAAATCTACCACTACACCATGTCCCTAAACACCATGTCTACACATCTATTAACCACCTCCAGGGGTGGCAACTCCACCACTTCCCTGGACAGCCTGTTCCAGTGCTTAGTAACCCCACTCCAGTCCCTTAATCATCTTGGTGACTCATACTGAGGAGTCTAGAACTGGCGTGTTCTCACTGGCACCTGCACAGGTAAAGGATCTTCTTCCTTTGTAAGACCCGGCTTTTCACTCTGATGACCTTCTTGAGGAGGCTTTTGTCTGCCCAGTTCTCCAGCCTGCTTGCTAAGCACAATCACTACCCACTACCACCAAGTGGTTGGTACAGCTGTGAACTTGCTGGAAGTGCACAGTCCCATCATCAGGTCACTAGTGATGACATTACACAGTACCGGCTCCAGCACTGAGCCCTGGGGTACACCACTCTTTTTTGAGCGCCTCCACCCAGGCTTTGTGACACTGATCAACCCCCTGAACCTGTCAGGGCAGACAGGGTTCAGTTGTTCCCACTATCGCATAAATATTGAATAAGAAAGCAAAATGGAAGCTTTCTGTGCAAGTTACTTTAAGCAACCTTCTCTGAGCTACCCTAATTTCACAGAATCTCTCTTAACAGTCTTTCAGAGCCGGAGAGGCTGTGTGCAGTGTTCACACTTGTGAACAATCTGAGCAATAGCATCCATTGCTAAGTCCACCCCTTGATCATGAGTCCATCTCTATGTTGCATCTCTGCCCTGATGGCCTGAAGTGTCATGGGCCCACCAGGCTCAAAATAATTCACCATTCCCTTCAGCAGTCTCTGCAACTTGTTGCTGGGGACTCCATACAGCTGCCTTCCATCTCCGACACTTCCAAAGCACTGGATGGGCCCAGTGGACTAGATACTCACCCATACTGTCCCACACACTCTGCCACTCATGACTGTCCAGCCTTGGGGAAAAACTCTTGGTCCTATTCTATTATCGTCTAACCCTAGACAAGACCCTAAACCCAACTCTGCTTAACTTTTGAGATCAGACAAAATGGTTGTGGGTAAAACACAGTCTGTATGTGTGCCAACATGATGATCCCCATCACAATCAGCAGGCAGGTCCCAAGGGTACCCAAAGGCCATTCAAAACCTTCAGAACTCTCAAATGATGCTGCTGTACTTGTCACTGGGGCTGGTGTAGCTGCTGTGCTTGCCGGGTCTCTCACCACCAGCTTCTCTTTTACTGACTCCAGATCTTCCTCCTCTGCCTTGCTGAGAAATGCTGCGTGGTCTCCTGCATCCTCCGCTTGTCCCGGGTGTCCGAGGCTGGACCCAGATGGAGCTCCCAGAGGTGGTATCTTGCTCTCTGCATCCTCCTGGCGATCAGGCTCGTGGGGCTCCGCAGGCGGCTGCCGGGAGATGCTCTCGGCCCCAGCGGGGCTGGGCTCGGCTGCGGGTCTCGGCTCCTCCGCCGCCTCCTTCCCCTCCTCCACCGGCAGCCGCCCCCTCCCGGCCTCCTGGTCCCCGGGGCCGCTCTCCCGGGCCGCTTCGGCCGCCGGTGGCTCCCGGTGCCCCTCCCCCTCTGCTACCCGCAGCCTCACGAAGACGGGGGCGATGAGGAGGGCCAGGACGGTGAGGAGCAGCCGGACGGCCGGGTACAAGTCCACGGCCACGTCCATCCCGCCCTGCTGCCGGAGCCCGCCCGTATTACAAGTCATTACCGTACAAGTCATTACCATAAAGTACAGTGATACAAGAACCTTAGCCCAAACTCCCCACCTGATAAACACTAACACAGCAAATACCAGCTGTAAGTAAGGTAGGACATGCTGAAACAGTGAGATCAGAAGCAACAACTTTCAGAGCAAATAAATCAGCATTGTGACAAGTGACTATTAATCTGAATGCTTATCACAAATACGATTAGGCCATTCAGATCTGTCGTTATCTCAACCCTTTGTGCCCCACCTTGTGCGCCATTAAGAACTGTGGACACCTTTGATATTAAGAAAACAACATTCCAGGTTTAGGCATATTACTTAATAATATACTGGGGGGGGGGGGGGGAACAGCTTGCTAGCTTGATTATTTAAAAAATTGGATTTAGTAACTTAAATGTTTGGCATCTAAGTAGCTCCAGCAATCCAGAAGGCTAGCCAATATTCCTCCATCACTGAAAAAACAATTTAGCTCCCAATACCATACACTCAGTCTATTTAATCTTCCTCTTTAGTACATTAAATTTCTTTGTATTTTTTTAAATTCTAGGCAGCAAGAAAGAAAAACATTGTTATCCTCTTACTGAAAGCCTCAGATACTTAGCACTGTTCAATACTTGGCAAGATAAATTACAGAGCTGCTCTAGAACAATCATGACTCTTAGAAAAAAATAATGGGTATGTCTGTTGTCTCTTTTGTTAACATGGAAGGGGAGCCAAGTAAAACATGAAGGCAAAATACTTAGGAATGACAGAAGACTTGTCCATGTCACAATGCAACTTTAAGATTATCCCATTTCCTCTCATTTCTGAGTACTGGACATGCTTATGGGCAGAAGACCAGAGTAAAGAGGTTTGGATCCTGCTGGCCTGAAAACAAGGAAACAATACCTAACTTATTTTTCACCCAGGTATTGTTTGGATTTCCTGTGCTGGTGACTCGGAAGTAACTTGGAAAGTTTCAGATACTCATCAGTGGCCATCACAACAGTTAACCTTCATGACCACATGTATACAAGTAGTGCTACCATGCCACTTGCCATTTGGCCACTTAAAAGACCCTGGCTTCCAAATGGTACCCTCATTTGGAACCATACTCCAGTAGTGCTGCACAGGTTTCCAGAGGTGCTTACAAAAGTGATGATCAGGAGTGCCAGAACGTGGAACTTTCCGCATCAGCAGCATCATGCATGGGAAGGTGAAGACTTCATTCATACAGATCAAATGGGGATACATCCCTCATAGCTGAAATTGTGCTGTGGACCAGATTATCCCATTAACGCTCCCATGTGGGGAAAAAAGTACTGTTTTTTTCCTTCAATAAAATAACAAAGCCCATTGATTTTTCTGTTTATAGAGAGGATGAAAATAATTCAGACAAAGTCCTCAATCTCTCGTACTTGTTTTAAATACAGTATGTTTTGGGTTTTTGTTTAATTGCTGAAGCAATTGCATCTCAAGCTATGGAGCTGGAGTGTTCTCTTAACTCCCACCAGGGTCAGTGTACTGACCTCAGTGGAGGTTTCAGAGTTTGAGATTTCTTTTCTGAAGGAAGATGTCTGTCATCTGTCACAACCGGCCTTCTAACCGGAAGGGAGGGAGACTGCAAAGCTTTGATACATTCTGATTACGCTATTATTCCTAGCTACCAAAATATTTAAAGAACAAAAAGAAAGTATGATTTCAGTTCATGACCACAGAGCCATTGTAGCACACTGACTGACTGCAGCTGTATTTTACGCACCTTGAAGCAACTACTCAGTGCAAATTTTAGGTAAGAAATTGATGAAGAGTTCTCATGGTTACTGCGCAAAGACCCAACAAAGCAGATGATTCTATGAAATGCAGGCTTTCTACATAAACCCATCAGACATACAGCTCCAGCTGAGCACTTTCCTTCCAGCAGCACACTCATTGTTAAAAGACTGTCAAAAATTCTTGTGATATTAGAACACTAGAGACTGTAGGATTGATCCCTGGCAGTGGACAACAGCAGGTCTTCCATGACCATGTGAAGCATCCTGTATTTCTGTGGAAAAAAACTCACCACCATTTGCCAAGAGTTACTGTGAGACTGGGGGACCATATTGCAAAACATTCTGCTACTGAAAGAGTTGTGTAGCTCAGTACATTTCATGATTACTTATGCTGAAATTTAATTTAGATTTATTCCTCATTACTTTGGGGAACTTGATCCCTTTGCAAAGGGTGGCACAGACACTCCGTAAGTGTTTACTGCAGGATTAAAATACTTTTGGCTTAGTCTGCATGTAACTCACTTGCAGCCTCCTGGATTTATCACCACTATTTGTTAAATTTATTGAAAAGTACACCTGCTAAATTCATTTTTTTAAAAATCATCATAGAAGACTACTGCTCAGTAGACAGGAATGCCAGAACGTTCAGTGCCAACAGCCCCTGCTGAAGCAGCTTACTTAAACAGGAGGGATTAACTTCAGGGGAACTGTCTCCTGAGCATCAATACACAGTAGCACTGAGGACACTTTCTTTTTTGTGTGCTGGTGGTTTGTGGAAAGGAATCTCTGGAAGCAGAAGACAGCAAAGAATAAAACCAAACACTTTGGCCATTAATGGATGAATCTCAATTTTAATTATTAAAGATAATTCTACCCCAGAAATAGGGGATGTTATGGACGGGAGGGGGTATATTTTCCCCTCAAATCATCTCAGGAATTTCATTTTGCAAAGACAGCAATGTTGAGACTGTTTAGCCTCCAGATAAGACTCCGAGTTACAGCAACATTAATGCTATTATGGTCATCATGTCTGATATTTGCAGTATGCTACCTGTAACAGCTGTAAGTACATGAAAAATACTTGTCAAATGAGTGACCTAGGGGAAAGAGTTTGGGTTGCACTGACAACCATAAGAGAAGGGAGCAGCATTCCAGTGCACATGGACGAAACAGTTACAAACATGAAAGTCTGGAGTAAAAACATACTAAACTATGTGGGCTAAACATTTGCGACCAATTGTCCCATTCAAAATGCTGTACGAAGTTAAAGTATGCAGTACTCTGCAGTTTAATGTGTATTTCATAGTCCACAAAATAATATTCATTTTCCATTGAGTTTTAAATCAAATTATGAAACACCACTCCTTTCCATTAATATTTTGGTGAAGAATTTTGGAACACTCAGCTGCACTATTTAGTTCCATCTGTTGAAGCTTCTTTCCTTGCCACTCCATCTGATCAAGCTCACTAGTACTTCTTCCTTGCCAACTCACATTAAGTCAGTCAGTAAACCTCACTGCCACCCTGCATCTGTTCACACTGAAGAAGTGAAGAAATGGGGTGTTTACTGAGGCAGCAGAGATATGGAAACAGCCCTTAAATATTTACAAGATGGTGACGAAGAGTGAAAATTCTTCTCCATGTTCATGGAACACAAAAAGAAGTAGGCATGAACTGCAGTAAAGGAGACTTAGATTACATAAAGAGAAAAAGTATTTCAAATAGTAAAGACAATTAGCAGTGGAATACCTTTCCCGTACCAGTCATTACCACAGATGGAGAAAACCTCCTGTCTTTTCCAGCCCTGCATCCAGTGTCAAATCCTTGACATCCCCTTCAGTCTTTTACTTCCTCACACAACTCCTGTCAGTTCTTCACCATTATCTCACAAGATAACAAAGTTTGATTTTTTCATTTAACAAATGGTGAAGGGTTACTAAATCTTTTGGTATAAGAAATTGCTTGTCTAAAAGGCACCAGTGATCCATATAGTCTGACAGCCTGTCTACAAGATCTGACAGCATCAGTTTGGGGAGAAGAAACTTTTCCTAAGGGACTTGAAGAATAATCTGTCTCTGTATGTCCTCCTGGTCTCCAGCCACTATTCAGTAGGAATCATGTACTTCACAAAACTGTTTTTAAAGTAAATCAGTTCTGAATCTTGCCATATTCTTCATCTGCACACATTAATCCTAATGGCTAATTTTAAATTAGGTTGGAAAAATATTTCATTTTGCTTTATCTCAAGCATTGAATTATATCAAGTATTCTTCTTTTGGACATAAAAAATGAGCAAGAGTCTCATATATTCCATTTTTGTGCATGAACAATCTTTCAGGAAAGCTCCAATTGTTTTGGCGATTACACACACTGTTTATCTATGTATTCTCCCATTAAATAGGACGTATATAGGTTCTACTGTAAATTCCTGTAGAGGAACAGCAGAATAAGCTTTCATACCATACTCACAATGGAAGATAAGTATCTGATCTGGAATTTCAGTACTGTGGTGGTTAAAGCAGTGAGAGAAAAACAACACTGTTTTGCACTTAGAAACCTGTTTCTAATCAGCTAAGCTACTCCTATGGGGTCAAATAAAAATGATTAGCTTATTAAAAGCATAGCTTTGCTATTTAATAAGCAAAAATGATTGAAAATTCTGTTCCAGATCCTGATAATTTTAGTGTTTCTAGTTAAGCCTGCAAAATTGCATTCATTATTAGTGTCTAGATTCATTAACAATTCAATTTATAGATATTAATGCTTATAATGCATGCTTCGCTTGCCAAAACTTGAGGAGAAATTGTTTCAATTAGCTTTCATGGATCATGAATCCTACCGGCTGGGTATTTTTAGACAAAAGATACAAACACATCCCCAAGCAATGCTAATGCACAGCTGAGATTCCTATGTAAGGTCTGTTAACAGTTTAAAAGGAAAAACAGTAAATGAGTTTTACACAGAATGGTTAGACAAGAACAGTACCAATAAAATATTTGCAGGTCACACTACTCCCCTCAAAAGTCAAGATTCCCTGGCTTTTGTGCTGTGTTTTGCAAAAGCAAAACCAGTAAGATATAAACTAGTGCCCAGGTTAAAGAATATTTTCCAGCATGTGATTAAGCACATTATGTGTATGTACAGGCCCATGGCAAATTGTCCCATTCTCATTTTCAAACTATTTAATTACAATCAATAAAGATGCATGAATGCAACCAAGGACATAATTTTGCTCAAT